TGTTTGAAGACTGCTTGTTGCTGTTTTGTCTTTGAAAGGAGGTTTCTTTGTGACTCTGTCCTTTTATGAAAAATTCACATGCATTCATGAGAAGTATGGCAACTTTGAATAGAAATGCAGCTTCATAGCTCGCCTCTTACTTTTGCTGTCATACTTTTTCCCATTTGTCCATCAAATTTAGCAAATGGCTAGCTACAGAACACAATCAAATTATGAATACGTGAGTGGAAATAGAGTAGGAGATTGCGGACATTAAAGGAAACAAGGTCTATCAAACAAACAAAGCTATTAATCCATCATTCCACTCACTTATTTCAACAGAAATGCATATAATGGCCTGAAATGTGATTTCTTTACAAGTTATCCTGCTAAATGCTTCACCCAAATTTGGCAGCTCGTAATGTCTCTCAAGGACTCTTCAGTCCTGTGTGTGGAGCAAAGGTGTGATTCTTTTCTAGCATCACAGTTTTGACTGAAAAAAAGAGTAGAAAGGGAGACAAATGCTGTTATTCACCCAAGAATCACAAAGCCAGCAAGACAGAAGAAAGAAAGTGATGTTCACTAAGGTGAATTCTGTTTGTGTGTGTTATATGCTCCTCAGGCCTCGATCAGAATAAGAAAGAAGTGAAAATGTGAGCAGAAGGCAGAGGTGCTGCTGACGGAGAGAAATGGGGGACACTTTCATGGGCTCCTCAAACAAGTGAAGGCCGTTCAGACAGGCGAGGTCATACTGTAAACCAAAGCAGCGTTATGGTGGGGGGCCCAGTGTCACTTCCCATCGGGGGTGCAGAATTCCTAGCAGCTCCCATGGCAGCAGCACTTTATAGTCTGGATGAGAGGATCAAGCTTAATGATGTGGTAACTTTAGCTTTAAATTACAAGTAACTAAAACCAAACATGAACTGTTGGGTGATGTAAAACTAAAAATAAGATGAAGTTATGATGAGATAAAACATGTGGCTGTTACATCATGTTTAATAAAGCACAAAAAGCAGGTTTTAGTCCGAGTCTAAAATTGGGAAATCTCAAATTAGTCGATTATTAACCTGCTCTACTCTGAGGGAGAAAAATCTTTTCTAGCTCCCAGCAAACAGGCCAGTGCATCAGCTTGTCCCCAGAGAAATGAAGCTTCTAACACACGCGTCTTTTCCATATGGTGTAGTGCCTCACATACAGTAGGCTTACAATTAAATGACTAATGTTGCATGAAACTGTAATTCTGATGTAACACAGCTCAAGACGTGCAGTAGTGATTTCAGCTGGTCTTTGTCTGCTCTGCACCATCACACAGTAGGTTGGAGTGGCCCACTCACACACCCACTCACGCACACACACACACTCGCACACACTCTTGTTTCTCTCCACCCCCCTGCAGGACACTGAACAGGTGGAGGAGTGTTGGTTTTAGGGCCGTGAAGGGGGCAAGTGCCTCTTTATGACTGTTGCATGCGTGTGCAGTTGAAAGAAAAGCTGTTTGTTCCCATCAATCACATTGCACTAACTGATAACTTTAACTTATTCACTTGACTGTAACTTTTAGAGGCAGTTGTTTTATGAGAAAAGCTTGGAAACACTTTGAGGGTTGGGCTTACTATTAGATTTTTTTCAGTATCATCACTAAACCATAAATCACCTTTAGATTTGATGTAGTGAGACAGCGGTGGAGAAAAATGAGCTACCACACAAACATGGGGAGTTTCCTACATGTGAGAGAGAGCGACTCACTCCCTGCAGGACTCACTGAGCAGGGAGATGTATGAGCGGCTTTGCCTTGACAAAATGAAAGGACTTGTGTAGCAAAAGTAATCACTCTCGGGCAATGACTCAATGAGAAAAATCTCTTTTGTTCGCCTGTGACAGTTTTACACACAGGATTATCAGTAAAACAGCAGCAAGTGAATCTTAATTACACTTTGGTGATTGGCTTGCCCCACTTTTAGAGCCAGAGCGCAAGATATATTCCGTTTTTATCGCCTCGGCTAAAATTGCCTCTTCACCCGTCCGTTTTTTGCTTTAATTTGTCAGTCAAGTTGAGAGAGGCTGGTTGAATTTAGCACTTTATTGACTTTTAATGGGCTACATTCTTTCTCAGAGTCTACACCCTTAGACTGAGGTGAGATCCGTTAAAAGTGACACAAAGCTTTATAATGTCTTGCCAAAGAGGACCTAACATCTCAGTTTTCTCTCTTTTCTCATCTTGCACACAGGTTCCTCGCTCTGCCCTTCAAAATAATGGTTTATTTGTTATCCGATGGGAGGGATCAGAGTTCTATTGTTTCAGCTATAAAGAAAGGCTCAACAACAGGAGAGAGATGACTGTGCTATGCACCACTGCTTCTTTCTTTATGCAGGAATACTCCCATTCAAATGCATGAAGGTATCCTTGGTTTTGGTGAAAGACCAACTGCACTCTGAAATTGGGCGGCCCTTGTTTCAGGGACAAAAAGTGAGGTTGTTTCTGTCTTTTGTCATGGACGCAGCCCCCAGCTTTCACCGGATTCCTGTGGACTCCCGCCGACTATATTGTGAGGCTGGCTCTTTTTAAACAAATGAGTGTATGATAGCGACTTCTTGCTCCCGCTTCTGTCTTTGTCATTAATATGGAACAGCACACACCCCTCGGAGAAGGCACAGAGTAGCTGCTGCCTGTCTGTGCAGCCTGACTGGGGAGGAAGCGGTCCTCCTCCATATGAAAAGCCCGTGGCCACACCCATCTTTAACGAGGACTGGATCTTTGTTCAGACTCTCCAGTAGAGTCACTGCTCTGTATTAATGAATTCTTTGCGAGGCCTCCATTAACGCTGATGGTAATGATTTTACCCCAAAGAATATTTAAGGAATACCGTGAAGGGGCACATGTATGGAAATTTGAGGGTGGCTTTTGGTTTTGGA